TAAAGGTCCAACTTCTCGTTACAGAAGTGATTATTACTGCCTCAAATGCCAGTTCATTCTCATGAATATAAACTCTAGTAAAATACAACTCTTTTCTTAACATTACAAGCAGCTCGAATACTCGTTAGTTTTGTATACCGTTTCAAAGTTGTAGTAACAAAGGCTGTCAATTGCAAACTCGTCTCGCCACTCGCCACGCTTTTGACGAGTTGCCTAATCCGGCTTGATTTAAGTTCATATTAAGCTAAAGCCACTAGTAAGTGTTGTCTCAAACTACAAGATTCGCTGTAATTTCCACTCGTTACTTTTCACTCGCTAACTCGTTCACTTGTCGGACTGGACACAGTTGACCAAATTTTGTTAAGCAAATGCGTGTCATGCACTGAAGGGGGTTGATGATGAGGTTGTTTATGTGCTGACTCTTGGCAAAAGCAGACGAGCAGGCGTTGCCAGACATGTACAAATTATAATGTATGTGTGTGTGTGTGTGTGCAAAGTTGATACAATTGATGATTTGTACATGGGACTACAGATGGCTGCAGTTGAGCAAGCACAAAGGGTCATGAACTCCAGCCACTTGCAAGTGAGACAAAGAGACAGAGAGGGAGAGAGAGAGAGGGCAAGGGACTTGAGCTTATCTTAAGACTTGTAAATGCTCGATTTGAAACTGCTGAGTCATTACATATGTGAGCTGTAGCTAAGAGTGGGTGGCGGTGGTGCACAAGTGGGGCAGCCTTAACTCATCCACAACAACAACAGCAGAGATGTTAACACGTACATCCTGTGCTAAATATTTTCAAAAAAAAAGAAGTGAGAAGTGAGAATCGCACTACTTAGTAGACACAGGCGAGACACGAGCAGCGAGCAACGAGCAGAATACGCATTAGCACTGCATTTAAAAAACATTTGTGGCTTTATGCTTAATCATCATCAGGCTGATGCTGATGTTCATTGTTGGGATTCCCAGCACGCTTGTATATATTAATAAAAATGCATTAGTTCACATTTATTTTGGACATAAAACGTGTTAGAGCAAGCAACAAGCACGACCCCTCGCTCCCTCGCCTCCCGTGGGGCAGTTTGACTTCGGCAAGCAAACGCACAAAAAAAAAAAACGCTGCAGATTTGTAGCACCAACACAACCACCAAACCGTAAGCCACCGCCACCGCCGTTGCCGCCACCGTTGTCATCGCTCCACTCATTTAAAGCTTAGAGACTTTTACTTTTACAGCGAACGTTTGAAAGCAAAGTAATGTACATGACAACAGACGCGGCCCACATCCCTTAGCCCTCAGCGGGGACAGTGTAACTAGTGTCATGTGGGCAGACCGACCCACACTGCGCCACCCAACCACCGATGCGACGACCTGGGCACTTTCGCTCTCGCTCGCTCGTAAATTTTAGATATTCGTAGCACGTGCAAATTATGTACAATAATAAAAAAGAATAAAAATAGAAATAGAAATAGAAATATAAACAGACAGAGATGGCGAGCAGTAAAACAAAAGCGGAGCGAAAGTGAAAGCCAACCAGAGACTACTAGCTGGATAGACAGCTAGATAGCTAGATAGATGTAGTCCAACCTGAGCCCCAGATGCGGGCAATACAAATCCGAAAAGCAAAAAAACAGGGTCAGGCAGACAGACAGTCGAACAGGGGCAGGGGCAGGGGCAGGGGCAGGGGCAGGGGTCTAGTTGCGGAACTCGTCTGGCTGTCTGACAAGTACATAAACATGTCTGCGCCTAAAAGTCTGTTGCATTTTATATGCCTATCCCCCCGAAGGCCCAACGACCAACCGGAACTGGAAAAAATATTGATTTACTCGGCAAACATTTTTCAAGCGAGCGAATGTTTTGCTCTTAATAAATTTGCTGAGTTTTTGCTCTTCTTCGGATAGTTCTTTAACTCGAGACTAACTTTGTGAAGCATCTGAAATTTTCTTGTTCCGTCTAAGTGAATAACAAAGTTCTACGAATATTGAATTCCCTTTGTATATAGTAAAAAGAACTTCATTAACATTGTGTCTAATACAATAACAATGACAATGACAATGACAATGACAATGCAATGACAATGACAATGACAATGACAATGACAATGACAATGACAATGACAATGACAATGACAATGACAATGACAATGACAATGACAATGACAATGACAATGACAATGACAATGACAATGACAATGACAATGACAATGACAATGACAATGACAATGACAATGACAATGACAATGACAATGACAATGACAATGACAATGACAATGACAATGACAATGACAATGACAATGACAATGACAATGACAATGACAATGACAATGACAATGACAATGACAATGACAATGACAATGACAATGACAATGACAATGACAATGACAATGACAATGACAATGACAATGACAATGACAATGACAATGACAATGACAATGACAATGACAATGACAATGACAATGACAATGACAATGACAATGACAATGACAATGACAATGACAATGACAATGACAATGACAATGACAATGACAATGACAATGACAATGACAATGACAATGACAATGACAATGACAATGACAATGACAATGACAATGACAATGACAATGACAATGACAATGACAATACAATGACAATGACAATGACAATGACAATGACAATGACAATGACAATGACAATGACAATGACAATGACAATGACAATGACAATGACAATGACAATGACAATGACAATGACAATGACAATGACAATGACAATGACAATGACAATGACAATGACAATGACAATGACAATGACAATGACAATGACAATGACAATGACAATGACAATGACAATGACAATGACAATGACAATGACAATGACAATGACAATGACAATGACAATGACAATGACAATGACAATGACAATGACAATGACAATGACAATGACAATGACAATGACAATGACAATGACAATGACAATGACAATGACAATGACAATGACATGACAATGACAATGACAATGACAATGACAATGACAATGACAATGACAATGACAATGACAATGACAATGACAATGACAATGACAATGACAATGACAATGACAATGACAATGACAATGACAATGACAATGACAATGACAATGACAATGACAATGACAATGACAATGACAATGACAATGACAATGACAATGACAATGACAATGACAATGACAATGACAATGACAATGACAATGACAATGACAATGACAATGACAATGACAATGACAATGACAATGACAATGACAATGACAATGACAATGACAATGACAATGACAATGACAATGACAATGACAATGACAATGACAATGACAATGACAATGACAATGACAATGACAATGACAATGACAATGACAATGACAATGACAATGACAATGACAATGACAATGACAATGACAATGACATGACAATGACAATGACAATGACAATGACAATGACAATGACAATGACAATGACAATGACAATGACAATGACAATGACAATGACAATGACAATGACAATGACAATGACAATGACAATGACAATGACAATGACAATGACAATGACAATGACAATGACAATGATAATGATAATGACAATGATAATGACAATGACAATGACAATGACAATGACAATGACAATGACAATCATAGTACATCTTCTAATGATAATAGTGATAATTAGATAAATTTCAAAGTATTTATGACTCTTAGAGCAATGATAAAAATAATACGATTTATTTGACTGTTGGTAAAATAATTCAAACAATGACATTAATTAATTTGGTATTATAATATTAATGATGATGAATGATATTAAGCTCTTAGCTTACAGTAGTCGCTCGCTAATGCAAACAAATTCCAAACCTTCCGGCTCAAGCAGATTTAAATTTCCATCTTTAAACAACAGACTTGAAATTTCTTTTGTTTTTTGACAAATGCTTGAGACTTAAAAAGCTGGAAGGTATTCATTAGGAGTTTACCCACATACCAAGTGGAACGAATTGTGTCCCAGAGGTGTCGCATAATATTTAACACCCAGTGAAGTTCACGCTTATCGCTTATCATTAGCAGCTTGGCAACATTCCGCAGCCAGCAGCATCGTCCTGGGCAACCGAACCACGACATTCAGATGGTGGCAGAGAGAGGGAGGGACAGCTGTTGGTCTAAAATTTATAATTGCGCTCCATATTTTGTGTTTCCGTATTTATGTTGCGTATTTCCGCCCCGTGTTTGTTTCACGTTTCATAACCATAACAAATTATCTCAGGTCATCAATTATGGGTGCGACACGGGCAACTCAAGAATCTGCTCCGTTTTGTACTGTTTTGCTCTCTGTACATTTTTCAGTACTTTGTTTTTTTGTTTGCTTGTTTTTGTTTCGGTTTTTTTGGTTGTTCGGGCAACTTTGCTGATATTTTTATTGCTTTCATTATGATTTCATGTGGCGCAAGCACGTTCCACATTCCAATTCGTGTGGGCGGGCAGTCGGACGTTTGGGGGCGCCGTGACGCTGGCAGCGGCCAACTTTTCCGTATTGAGTCAGCGCTGACGCCCATTTGTCTAACCGAGTACTCGAGGCGCTTCACTTGGCTCTTGGGTGTTAATAATGTTATCTTTTATTTATGCCGAGCTGCTCTTTGGCTCCCACCCTGCCCACCGTTGGCTATGTCCTAGCCTCCGCCTGCCTCTCTCGCACGCTGTTTAAACTTTTTCGTTTTGAATGTAATTGCATTTTGTTTACCTTTGTACCATTGTACCCTGTATTGTTAGCAAGCAAGGTCATCTCATTGAATCAGCGAGTAGAGGATGGCTTCTAATCGTGGTCTTAGTGTATTCCCGAGGGTATCTTCGAGTCGAGCAGTCGAGTCCTTTAGGTGCAACTTCAATGGTTGAATTTATAAATATGTGTCTCAAATTTGAAAGTGTCGCGCACCTTGATGAAGCCCCACGCGAACGCCACATCCCGCCATTCCAGTTGCGAAACTTTTCATTTTGTAATAAATAATTCAGGTGTCTTTTAATACATCAAACACATTAAACAAGTTCACTTAGAAAGTAGGCAAAATAAATAAATAGGTGCATGCTATGCGATATAGGTAGGACGGTGCATGGCTAGCTGGCGTAATGGCAGCTTAGCCCATTTCAGAAACAGCTCACGTAAGCCCCGAAGTGAATCCTTTGGGCTGCCTTAGGGCTTGTAGACGTATGAGCCGCCGCAGTTTTTGTAGCACAAGTAACTGGGGCGATAGCGCCATCTGCGACAGTAGCGACGATAACAGTTGCTGGGGTTGGGGGTAGGTGGACTAGGGGTGGGTGGACTTGGGGTGGGAGGTTCGGGTGTAGGTGGGAAAGGTGTGGGTGGGGAAGGTGTTGGGGGATAAGGTGTAGGAGGCTCCGGAGTTGGTGGCTCTGGAGTTGGTGGCTCTGGAGTTGGTGGCTCTGGAGTTGGTGGCTCAGGTGTGGGTGGCTCCGGAGTCGGCGTCACAGGACAGTCATTGCCCACGCTACCAATAACGCTGTTCAGTGCTTGCAGATTGACCAAAGCATCCAAGTTGAGATTCAGCAAGGTGACAAACGTATTCCGATTGCCCTCTACGATATTCTCCGGTCCACCTGTAAGCAGATACCCAGTGAATTTCTCGATTCCCCTACGATCTTATGGTTTGCTACTCACTGTTCAACTCATTGTCGAACTTATTGCCAATGCCATTGCAGGCACCGCTGCTGCCCCTGATCGAGTTGAGCAGATCAATCTTAGCCAATGCCGAGACATCCAAGTTCACCAGCTTCAAGATCGTCGTATCGTTAGCCATAACAATTTGCTTGGGTCCCTCTGCAAGAGGCGTTAAGTGCTTAGCCACAGCCTAGCTAGAAAAGCAACCTCATTCACTTACTGTTGACGGTGTTGGAGAAGTCATTGCCTATACTGCTGGCGCCTCCGCTACCAGTTGCAGTCACACCATCCTTGTCCCAGATGTTCATGAGTAGATTGCCTTGTTGATCGACCACCTGAACAATGTCGTCACGAGGAACATTGCCGCCAGTTACAGTTCCCACAACAGTGTTGAGCACATTGGCGCCGATGCCAGCAACCAAGTCAAGATCCACTCCCTTTATGAAAGTATTGCCGCTTCCAGTAACCACATTCTTAGCGCCCGCTGTTAAATTCAGATTGGCGCATTATAAGGGAACAACTTTGGTGTTAGCCAAAGTACTTACTTGTGATGGTGTTGCCACCTTTGTTTGCAATGTTCTGGGCGCTTGAGGAACCACCACCCAAGAGGCCTCCAACGAGGCCGCCACTGGAACCACCAGCACCGCCAGAACCGCCAGTGACTGTGCCCACAACTGAGTTGAGCAGATTAACACCAACTCCAGCAGCCACATCACCATCGACTCCAGTGATGAAAGTGTTGCCGTCGCCTCTAACCACATTCTTGGGACCCTCTGTTGATGGTTTGAAAGGCAAATTAGTTGGGGAAAGCTTCACAATTGTGAAGAATTCACTTACTTGTTATGGTATTACCGCCTTGGTTGGCAATGTTTCGGCCACCAGCGGCACTAGAGGTGCCACCTACTAGACCACCGGCTCCGCCACCACCCAAAAGACCTCCGGTAGCACCACCCAAAACACCTTTAGTTACACCGCCCAAGACACCTTGAGTAACACCACCCAAGACACCTTGAGTAACACCACCCAAGACACCTTTAGTAACTCCACCCAGAAGACCACCGGTAACGCCGCCTAATAAACCACCGGCACCACCACCACCACCTCCAGCAGAGCCCCCAGAGCCTCCAGAGCCTCCGCCTGTGACCGTGCCTACAACACTGTTGAGCACATTGGCATCAACGCCCGCAAGAACATCAGCATCGACTGCTTTGATGAAAGTATTGCCACTTCCGGTAACCACATTCTTAGGACCCGCTGATAAATAAAATTAAACAAGGGTTAAAAGAGCAAGCCTCTCCCTAAGGCCTAAGCACTTACTTGTTATGGTATTGCCACCTTTGTTGGCAATATTTTGAGAGCGAGCAGAGCTGGAACCACTTCCAGAGGCACCACCTAAAAGGCCACCAACACCACCAGCACCGCCAGAACCGCCAGAGCCACCAGTGACTGTGCCCACAACAGAGTTGAGCAGATTAACACCAACTCCAGCAGCCACATCACCATCGACTCCAGTGATGAAAGTGTTGCCATCGCCTCTCACCACATTCTTGGGACCCTCTGTTGATGGTTTGAAAGGCAGATTAGATGGGGAATGCTTCACAATTGTGAGGAATTCACTTACTTGTGATGGTATTACCGCCTTTGTTGGCAATATTTTCAGATCTCTGAAGAGAGGATGAACGTGACGATGTGGCAGCACTGCCGCCGCTAAGGACTTGGTTACCTGTCACCGTTCCAACCTTGTTGGTCAGCACATTGGCATCCACCGCGGCTGGGACATCGAGATCCACCAGTTGGCCAAAGAAATTGTTGTTTCCACTAACGACATTTTTGGGACCAGCTGGAAATATGAATTATATTGGAGAAACTCTCTTAGCCAGAATCATGAGGCACCTACAAGTGATCGTGTTGCCACCCAGGTTGGCAATATTCTGAGGCGCAGAAAGTACGGATGAAACTGGACTGCCTCCGGTACTGGAGCCACCAACTGTACCTAGTGTATTGGTCAAGACGTTAGCACCCACAGCCAATGGCACATCCGCGTCGACAAGTTGTCCGAAGAAATTGTTGTTTCCGTTGACAACATTTTTGGGCCCAGCTGGAATAGGCAAATGATTAAATCGGCAACAAAATATGCTTAGAGACACACATACTTGAAATCGTGTTGCCTCCTCGATTGGCAATATTTCCAGTCAACGAACGTCCTGAGGAGAGTAGAGAGCTGACTGGGCTGGCTGCGCTGCCAGCATTCGAGCCGGTCACAGTACCAACGGTATTGGTCAAGATGTTAGCATCTACAGCCGCGGGAATATTGGCATCGACAAGTTGTCCGAAGAAATTGTTGTTTCCGGTGACAATGTTCTTGGCACCAGCTGAAGAAGTGAATGATTATTGAAAATACAATTTCTCAAATAGCTTTCAGGCCACCTACTTGTAATCGAGTTGCCGCCTTGGTTGGCAACAGATCCCAAAAGGCCACCAACAATAGGAAGAGAGCCAGTGGCACGTTTCGAGGTGGGCGAGTGCTTGCCAAGTCCTGCATTGGGATCCACCAAGTTGGCCGATTGCTCTGCAATGATCGTTGGTTTCAATAAGAAATCAATTTTCAGCTGAGTGTTACTTACGTATCAGCGAGTTGGAGGCTGTTGGCAGCGAGCGATCGAGCGCCGTCATTAGACCCATGATTATGACCTTTGCCACGCCCATATCCAGCAGGCGAACAATCCAACTGTCTGTCGTAGCCGCACAGAAGCCGCTCTTGTTGCCATTCGCAATAGACGTTAAGCTATCAGTTAGGGAAATAATTAGCGTGCTGAATCCATTGATCTGCAGTAGATTGACGCCCGACTTCTTGCTGTCGTCCTTGGGACCCACTGAAAGTGTGCGTAAGGGGAAAATGCAAGTTAGTTTAAAGAATCGATTGGACTGTGTGCAGGCATTTCTCAGTTAGCACTCTTCACTTGGCCCACTTGATTCGGTGCTTACTTTCAATCAGATTCTGAACAATCCGCTGCGTCTCGACACTGGATGCGCCGCACACTTGCAGCAGCGTGCTCAATATGGCACTCAGTTCGTATACGCTTCTGGCTTGTAGGAAGCTGACAATTGACTCGCGATCGCCCTTAATGTTGTCCGTTTTGTTCGTCAGCGTGAGGGCTGTGCGTGTGCTGCGACTGCCCAGCATAGGTAAGTCGGAAGCTTTAACGGATGTTGTGCTCTTGATGATCTGCACGACCTGCTTCTGCGAGCACTCGATGCTATTGAAGGTGCACAGGGCCAGGAAGGATTTCAGACTTAACGTCAGGCTATTTTTATCCCTTGAGCTCTTGATGTCTTTGATGACGCGATCACAGCTGCCATTCGCACTGCTCCCAATCAGCACATCAATGATCACATCCATGCCCAGCTGCAGTAGTATAGCGCCGCCCTGCAGCTCCGTTGCTTCCATGTCTCGCAGGGACTTGACCGTCGTTTGTTGGGAGTCGGATAGCTTGATGCCACGCGCCTGCATGCTGGCCATAAGCAGATCAGCCAGATCCTTGGCCGCCAGTCGTCCAATATTCCCAGCTCTCCTAGCCGCTGCCGACGGAGTTGTTGGAGCCGATGTCGAGGTCGTCGCTGGCTTTGCCTCGAACGGTACGAGGAAGCCGGTGGATAAAATCAGAAACAGCTGAAGGCGCCACATTTTCCTGTTGACTTTTCACTTTGTCTGCGCTGCTTTCTCAGAAGTGTGCCCAGATGATCGCAACCTGAGAGATTGATATTGATGGGCGCTGTGCGAAGCGCTTTTATGGCTATGCCGGCCTCTTTGTGCTGATTTTTATCAGCTGTGCTGTGAGTAAATGCGGCTACTTGTCGCATCTGCTGATAACGCCCCGTCTGCCGTTGAAGCCAACCATAATCGTGTCGTAAGCGCTATTGGCATGCAACAAACGTGACCACAAATCGCCAAACACCATCGGCGTTGATGTTGACAACAGCGACTCGATTTCGCTTTGCTAGTAACATTCGCATTCTTCTCGCATTATTTGTCATCTGCGGTTTATCTATCTCCGTGGTCCATAAGATATTCCATATCCAAATCGCTGATGCTATCCAAAAGGCTGCACTGCACTCTGGGTAAGATTTTGATCACACAACTGATGTAGATCTCCAGGAAGTAGATCTTTGATGTACACAACTGATGTAGATCTCCAGGAAGTAGATCTTTGATGTACACATAGTATCTGTGCTTTAGACCGAGGCTTAGCCTTAGTCTTTGGCAGTCTGCTATCATTTATCCCTATGTTTTCATATATAGCTATGATCATGCGATCTTTCGTCTGAATTGCGCTTCTGTAATATAATAGTCTCTTTCTATTTCAGATATGCTGGCTAGATCGAACGGATATATCTTATTGCTATCGTCAAAATAAATGAACAAAATGCAACTTGTTTAAGATCTTCATAATCTTTGCTATGTTTACTATTCTAGAGAGTTAGCTATTATATGCATTTCAGAATCAAGCAATTCTCCAACAATGCAACTGCAAATCTCATAACTTAGATAGAGAGAGAGAGAGAGAGATAGATAGAGAGAGAGAGCTGCATATATATCTCTAAAAAAAACTCACTCGAACCAAAACTCAACAGCTCTAAAATTAGAAGCTGACCCAGATACTGGAGTAGAGCCACAGCTAAGAATTAATCTGTTGCTGCTGGTCATGCACGTGCCCACAGCGACAGTCTGTGGTGCGGTCAATATTTGGATGCTCCGATTTCCGCATAGAGATAGCGGGTAGCTTGGTATAAAATGCTCAAAGTGCTACCAGTTGCCAGCCAGTTAGAAATTTGACTAACAACCCAAACATCCCAATTGCAAATCGAAATCCGCCCATAGATATCAAATGACAGCCCTGAGCAATGATCAGCGTTTTGTGGTGGTGCTGCTGCTGGCCATGGCCAGTGGTGCTTGGCTAATCGCTGGCACCACAGCGCAGACCTTCACATCCGAGGATCGCAATGCCATACAAAAATTTATGGATGTCTTGTTGAATTTCCTCGATGCCGAAACGGATCCATCCAATGCCACCAGCACTGAGAGCCCAACTAATGCCACCACAACGGATCCGCTGGAGAGCACCACTTTAGCTGGCAATTCGACAACAACAGAGTCAACGACAGCGAGCAATTCGACGAGTGACGGTGACTCAACGAGTGAGAGCACAACTCTAGCAGCCAATGCAACCACCGAATCAATATCAACCACAACAACAACAGCTATCAGCAGCAGCACCCAAATTAGTGCGGCGCCACGTCGCATATGCTTCAAGCGTGTCTGCTACAAGTTTGCGGGCGACAGAGGATATATTGTTTAGCCTAACTCAACAAATGCGACGAATAAAATCGTTACTCGTTACTCTTATGAGCTACTCGTTGTTGTCACTGAACTGCTCAAATTGTTTAGCTGAGAGTTTCATATCTTGGCTACTTTGGCTACTTTGGCTTAGATTCGTTAGCTCAACTCGTCGTTAAGCACTCACTCTTTAGATTAAGACTCGTTACTTTAGCCCAGGGTCGTTAGCTAAACTTTTAAGAACTAGCTTCTGATAAGGCAAAGACTTCTGAGTTCACAAGTTCTTGACTCTCGTTAGTTTAACTCGTTGTTAAGTAAACATTCGTTAGATTAAGACAAGTCAAAGACCCGCCGCTCTATGGCATTTTATTCTGACCAAATTTTGTTGATTGAATTCGTTACTTTGGAATTCGTTACTTTTGTAACGAAATTGTAAATTGGGAGTTTTTAATGGGACAAAGAGTCGCACGAACAAGAACTCGTCCATCTAACCGACTCTCGTTAGTGCTACTCGTCGTGAAATAAAGTTTTTGCTTTGCTCACGCACACTTAGTGCGATACATTATTCAAGAGCCACATATGGTTGGCTATAACCGTCAAGTGAAATACAGTTTGTCAGACAGCAGCTCAGAGAGCCTCGGCGCTTTTACACAATCCCTTCTGCTTGGGCCCCTAACAAGTTATTTGTTTCATTACTGTCAAACTGTCAAAACTTTCAAGAGTCTGCAGCAGCATTTATTAGCCGTATTTAAAGCTACTTATTTGCTATCAATAACCAGCAGAAAGAGGAGCTGTTTGAGTGGGAATGGGACTCGTTGCTTTGGAGCTATCTCGTTAGAGGAGCGGCGCAGTGAGTGCCTTTTGCACTTGCCACTGACTATGAATGATTGAAGGTTTCTTAAAGACAAAGCCAATTTGCAAAACGCCATTGAAACATGATTCAGCAATAAATGGAAAACAAAGCGCAAAGTTTGCTGTCAGAAGTTTGTTGCTGTTGCCAATCCCAAAACGAATTATTTCAATTAAAAGTTTTGGATGCACAGTTCTTAATACTGTCAACTTGGTCGTTTATGTGCCCAAGTCTTAATTGTCCTAGAAATACGAGCCATAATTTTCAGCAGACAGAGAGAGAGGGAGACAGAGAGAGAGCGCGAGAGGCACGTACATGTTGACCAACAAACTGACAAATAAAGCCCATGGGCAAAAGCTTTGTGGCTTTTCAATGAGTTGTAAACAAATGAAATTTTATTCGTTAAAAGATTTTCTAAATATATTGTGCAAATAGTTGACGCCAACGTTGATGTGGCGCCTGTCAAAGGGAATCTCTATCAATTTGCCCCCCAAATCAGACCGGAGCACAATGTAAAATGTCTTTGTCTGTCTCTGTCTAGGGCTCTGTGTGTGCGTGAGTGGATGTCAGCAGTAAGTAATTGCATGGCACAAATTATAAGGCCATTGGAAGTAGCTCTTTAATGAGCGAGTAAGCTTCGAACTAGTTGGCTTACTTAGAGCGATTAGTAACGAGTGGCTTAAAGTAACAAATCTTAGCTAGAAAGATTGAACGGAAAATCAAAACTATAATCAAATTATTCAATTGGGAGACGATAACTAAAGCTGAATTTGTTTGGGACGCAAGCGTAAAAAGTAACGAGTAGAAGGTAAAGCGACTAGTAAATATAAGTATCATATTCCTGTTTCATATTCAACAGAACAGAGCAATGAGTAGCGAGGAAGAAGTGAAAAATAGCGAGTTGTCACGCTACTCTTCTTGACGAGTAACGAGTGATGAGTAGCGAGTAAAACATAACGAGTAGCAAGAAACGAGAAAGTACAAATTTACGTAGCGAGTAAGAGTAAAAAGTAACGAGTAACAATAGCGAGTAGTCAAGTAGCGAGTAGTACAAGGCTAACGAGTAGCAAAAGTAACGAGTAAGACCACTCAATTGTGCTAAGAATTACGCATATACCAACTATGATTGCCTGCAAGAGAGGCGTGTATGGATATAAATCTAATCTTAATTGTTAATTGCGATCTATCAATTGTAACGAATGGGGCATTTATAACGAATAGTTATGACGCCCAATGAAGGGGCATGTGAAAGTTAGTTATCTCAGCTTTGATGAGCCCAAGTACTAACTGATTGAGGGCAAACTTTTGACTCATGTCCTGCACGTGGCACTGCTATTTAATTACTATCAGCTTATTGTTATTACTGTCCCATATGCGGCGACAACAACTTAACGAAGTTATCACACACTGCTGGAGCGAGTGCTTCGGATTAACCGATGCGTCGCGTCGCGTGAAGTACTTTAAATTAGTTTCGTTGCATCAACAATGCAACAAGAGACAAAGGACAACCCCCGCGCTGCGGCTACACAATCGAACCGCCCTCAAATGGAGAGCCACGTGTCAGCCCGACCAGGGGATGGGGCTGACGCTGGGCTGGGCTGGGAATTTTGGGGCACATTGGTTGAGGCGACGTCGTCGTTTGTTTGTGGTCGCAGGAAGCGCGTTCAAAAAATATCCAATTACAATTTAATTAAGTTGCTTTTAATGTGACAGCGCGACGCGGCGTCCCACGCGCTAGTTCCCAAATTTTCCATACGTTGGGAATTATTCAATTTGATGTTGCATACTTTTCGGCTGCTCTATTGATAGCTCCTCTGTTGCATACTCTGCGACAGCGCTGGTAATGTGGGCGACTATGGAAACAGTTTGTCTAAATAACAATGGCAATATTTAATATTATGAAAATGGAGCTGAGTAGCAAGCAGAGGCCATCGACCCTGAGCCCTGTCTGCCTCACCCAACTCTCATCGCATCTTGAAGTCTGACGTATTTAAGCCTGCACAGCCCCAGGCAGCCGAAGCTCAGATCACTTATCGATAAAAATCAACTTGACTAGGAGACTAGAATAGATTTCTGTAATGAGCAGCCAGTCGAGGTTGATATTTAGAATCGTTGTAGGGTATATCATGGGCAGTAAATGTATTAGACGGCAATTACAGGGTAAGTCGTTGGCTATGCATATGCAAGAATCTTTTATGCACTACCTTTTAGCACAGAGACTGACTGAAAGGCCGTTCACAACTTGAGCATAGCCAGCTGAGCAACCCATTGGCAGGTTTCATAGGGTATACGACAAGAAACTTAATGTAATCTCAGCAGTTGCTTACAAAATTTATATTATTTTAACAGTTGAAGAACGGGCTCTGTCTGAGCACTTCGTATGGCTATCTGATATTTACAACTTCCCAATGTCCTGCACACGCACACAGAAAGAGAGAGAGGGAGCGGGAGAGGGTGGGAGAGATGCGCTCTTTCGCATCCTTTCGCAAGGCGCTGCAAATTTAATCATTTTCGGCGTGGCTGCTGCGTTTTATGAGAGCACGCGCTGTCATCGTTCCCATGCCCTGGCGTGCGTAAAGAGGGTATATTGCTGAGTTATCGATAAGACAACTCGTATAAGAGGCAAGCAAAGTTAGGGTATTTTCTAGCGCTTCATGCTCGGCCATGACTTGTAGAGAGAGTATTTGGGCTGGTCATGATGTGTGTCGGCTTCAGCCTTGTCGTACAAAGCTGTTCAAATTTGGATAGACCTGCTGGGCGTTACTATGTCTTTCGCAACATGAGACTTGTCGGAGGCTTGTCTACAAATAAACAATCCAAATCTCAAGGCTCTTCACGCTGTACGTTTTGGCAGAAGTTGTATAGATCGCATGCCAAAGAACTTGCTCTGGATCAGCTCTTTCGATGATTTAAAGGCAATATGTAGGGCGTGGCATCTTTAGCTTTCTCAGTCTTAGAATGGGAACTCACAAGTTGCAGGAGAGTTGAGCTGTGCCACAGAGCAGCCCAACTACTCTGCAGTTGTCCTGTGCCGACTGAGCGAGCATGATGCAGTCAGTAGCGTCGCCTTCGCAACGTTCAGGATACGAGCATATAAAATGAAAGACGTCATTTTGGCCAACAAATGAGCCGCATCATTATCGGCAACAGCATCGATGACATGGCCAACCGTTGTTTTTGTTGTTGTCCAACACTTCTTCTGAGTATTGGGCAGTCCTTACACATATTTTTACTGCGCGGCGCTTAAGTTTTATGAGCTGCTCAGCACGTGAAGGCAAAGCTTAACGACAGCAACAGCTGCTGCCAGACAGCTCTCGCTCTCACTCTCTTGCTCCTTGCTCCTTGCTCCTTGCTCCTTCTCCTTCTCGCTCTCCTCTTGTGCGTAGCTTGTGGCCAACTGTACTCGACATTTTTGTTTAATTTGCATGGCTGAAGGCGCTTTCAAGTTGCACTTGAGACAGACGCAGCTTGTTTTTTGGTCTATGGCACAAGCAAGTGCCACTCGAGCGACAGAGAGAGACACATGGAGAGAGCTACTCAAAACGAAAGACTCAAGCCAAAAACTTGCTCCCGATTGGAGTTTAATCAAAAACCAGATCAAACTAATCGCCAAATGCAATTCGCGTGTTAAGTGCGACAGGAACTCTTGAGTTTGTGTTACAAGGATTACAAGCTGCAAATCCACTTGGCACATGACGCGCGCCCCGCACCACCTGCGTCGCATTGTTATATTACCCAACCCTCTGCTTCTTCTTCTTCGTCTCTTACTACTTTGTCTTTTTATTCATTGTTGTCAGTGGTTGAATTTGGCGCTTCCCTTTTTTCCCTTTATGTAGCTAGTCCTGCATTGTCCTTTACACGCTGCTGTAACCTAATCCGCTTAGCTCTGCTTCGCTCTCTCTCTCTCTCCTTTTGAACACTTGTCGGCAGTTGCCCCTGAAGCGTCATCCATATTAACACACATCCCAGACACAAGTGTTTGATGAGCGCGCGGCCAAAATTGATTGATCGATCGATCGATCGACGCGATCCTCACAGCTGCCAATAGAGAGCGAAATTTCCAGGTAGGCTTCTCAATCGCACACATTTGTAAATAGTAAGCCACTCGCTACTGATTGACTTGACTATTCGCTATTTTTGGCATTAGCCTTTGCTTCGATTGATCAATAGACCCTTTAGGTTCGAGTTGTCTGTGCAGACACTCGTTACTTGGCACTCGTTACTGAATACTCAACTACTCGTTACTTCTCCTTTATGCTGATTACTCGATATTGCCTGAATGAGCAATATTTTGACCTATGCTGAAACCTTGTAACCTGCTATAAGCTCATTGGCTTTTATAAGTTTGCTTCATCAGCTACTCGTTGCTTTCATTCACTCGTTGCCTGTTACACTCGTTACAAAGCAGAGCATTGAACCTCTTCTTCTCGTAACTAATCAAGTCTTTATCTCAACTTTCTCCTGAATTGAGAACTCTCTCTCTCTCTCTCTCTCTCTCTCTCTCTCTCATTGAATTGCTCTTTTGTTTGACTCCTGCTCGTTACTCTCTAACCCATGACTCGCTACACTTTTCTTCATCATATTTCTTTCTATAATTTAATGAATTTCAGATGTCGAACAAAACTTTGTCCAAGAATTGGGAACATCATCTGCTTTTAATCAATTTACATGAATTTGAATATTTATTTTTGGCACTCGTCGCTCGTCGCTCCCACGGTCAACAATTTTACCATATCCGATTATCGGAAACGGATGAGCACAAACTGTGAGCCGAAGGGAACTGGCGAACAAACAAACAAAGGCGGGTATCGAGCATGTTTAGCCAAATAGGAACTGATACCGCAGCGATGAAGCGATTGCAACTGCGTCTTAATTTCGGGCAACGAACATTACATAACAACTGTTCCGCTCTCTCTCACTCTCTCTCCTATGGCTTTTATGGCTGTGACAAAGGAAAAGCCGCAACGACCCTTGAGGTAATAGAGAGTAAAACAAAGCCATACCGCCGAGAAATTCGCTAGAAATGCCACGCGGTAATCACAAATATTGACATTTCCTTAACATTCAGACAGAGACAGAGATAGAGGCAGAGGCGGACTCTCTCTCGCTCTCACTGCCTGTCTAGGCAGGTAACTCTATACCCGCTTTTGGGCTTCATTCACAATAGCCACGCATTGTGCCTATCAATAAATAGCACAAAGCACTTTTGTGCTCAACAATACTCGATTCTCGCTTCTCGATTCTCTCCTTTATGAGTTCATTGGGTTTCCAAATTGGTCTGCTTAGAGAGCTTAGATAAAAACTATCGGATTACTGAAGCCTGCATTTCACACGCTCATCTAACGCTCTTCGCATTATTATCTTGCATTCGAAGTTGGTCTGGTCCGACATTTAGCTTATAATTCAATATAAAATATAAAAATTCTTCGTTTCAAATTTAGTGAACATAAGAAATATTTTTAAAATATTTCTTAATTTTATAATTAATGTTAAAAATAATAAATACAAGTGTTTATATTTTATTTTATTTCTAAAATGTTTTCTTTTTAAATTTAGTTTTCTTTTTTTTGTTATTTATTTTGGTATATTTTTTAAATATTTCTCAAATTTATAATTAATATTAAAAATAATAAATACAAGTGTTTATATTTTATTTTATTGCTAAAATGTTTTCTTTTTCAATTAAATTTTTTTTTTGTATTTTCAGTACTGAGAATCTCAACAATTTTAATGAATAAAATGTTGGCTTAGTAAGCCGCTTCGGAAAGATAATAGAACCCTTAAATTTATTTAAGGTAAAACCCACAAAACGATTCAATTCCAGATTTGAGCAAACTACCTGAATTACCCCCATAAAACTAGGATCATAAAATTTCTTAACGAGCGAAGATTTTACCTGTGAATGGAAAGCGATGCCAAGCAATTAAGTAGATCTAAGGAGAAATTATAATGAGTGAGAGAAAGGATGAGAGAGAGATCAGTAGAAAAAGAGGAAAATATGAGAGAATAGAGAGAAAGCTAAATAGACAGATAATCAGGAAGTGACAAAAAGAGCGAAAAAGAAAGAATGAAAGAGGCAAATAGAATGAGGAGAGAGAGAGAGAGAGAGAGAGAGAGAGATATCCCCTCACCAACGATCCAGAATGAGCTCTCCACGCAATCTAAATTAAGATTTAATTTTGTTTAGCGTCGTTTTTTCGTTTTGTATTTTTAGGCCAAGTTAATTTCTAGGAATGTTTGGCAACTGTTTGCGCGCATTCATGAATGTAAAATGCGAACTATCATATGACAGTGAAATGGCTTACAGTACGACAAAAATGAAGAACTTCATCGTCCACATGTTGACCACAACAAAGCGAACTGCTGTCGCTGCTGCTGCTGCTGCTGCTGTCGCTGCTTGGGGAGTTGCGAATAATCTAGACTTGGCCAACGCCGCAGCCACTCAAAAGCTAATAATTATAGCAGAAGTGCTCGTTGTGGTAGCCAGTCCTCACCCAGCCACGCCCCCCCTTAAGCTAACCTTATAATGTGTTTAATGGCGCCGCATTATCCACACATTGCCTGGCCGGCAGGCAATGGCAGAAGCCTTAAATTTGCACAGCTCGTCCTTTGCGCCGACAGAAAATACTTTGTTTAATTTTTGTTTTTTTTTTTTCCTCTCTTTTCTTGTAACTAAACTGTGTGTGTGTGTTGTGCTTGTTTTCGCTTCAAAGCAACATTGTTAAGCCGCACCACATGCAGACATACTTTGTGTTTGACCACATGGCATAATGAGTCTGTGTGTCCTGCACAGGACATGCGACTATAGACAGCTCAGGTGTGCGTCTGTAGGTGTGTGCGTGGGTAACCCATTCGTTTGTTCGACTGACTGAAAAATTTAAATGTCCTTGAATGTCCTTCGTGCAACAATTAACACTCGACTGGCTTATTGATTGACTATCAATACGATTACCACTTACAATAAGAACCCATAGACATCGTACAGCAGAGGGGGCATAAATCTACCAATCTATTATTTAATTGGTCATTCTTCAATCAGCCAATAACTCTTAACTGTTCAGCGTCAATCACGCCATCACCTTATCAATAGTCGCTTACCATTCAACCAGTCTTACGTGAGCTAACCAATCATTTAGGCAACCTAGCAGTCAGTCGAATTTCAGTCAACAATCAACTTCAATCAGGCAATAGATAGCCTCTAACCAATGATTGAAATAATATATTTTCTCGGTTTATATTTTTATTTTTAGCATCCAAAAGAAACAATGAAACAGATAATTTTAACAATTGTAGCAATTGCAATTTCCGAATGTCGTCTTTAACCAGAATTTGAAAGAATTAGTTTGTACTTGTTGCAATCTGTATTAGACCCTATGAAAGGCACGATTACAGATAGAGATGATGCACAGTTGGCCGCTGGGAACTCACCTAAAGTGTGATTCGCGTGTTAGTTTCGTGTAATTCGTATGTTTATTTTTGTATTGCATGCCATTCCCTGTGGGAGAAAGAGGAGGAGGAGGATGGAGTCACGACTCACTGGAACGATCAGTTAATACATACGCCCAACAGAGTATTAGAAAAGTATCTAAAATTAGATTTAAATGTCTCCGATTAACTTTATGCTTATGAACTAAGGTATATATATATATATATGTAAATAAAATACTTTGAATTTTGATAAACTTTTCCGAAAGTAGAATTTGAGAAAATTTCCCGAATGTTGCCTTGAGCAAAAGGCGTGTTGTACTGAGCTCTAAGCCCATTCGGTTTTCACAGCTGGATGTGGTTGACAGCTCGGACGATGCTCGGCCTACTCAGCTCGAAACGAATTCCAAATGCGTTCACTTTCAGTCAGGAAAACGGCTCGAAGTCCGCTCGGATATTTGTTTTTATTATAAATACAAACAACTCGGGAGGGGCTGTCCGTGAGGAGAGGCGGTGGCGGGTTGGTTCAGTGTCTTGGCTCTTGTCTCCAGTCTGGTTTGGTTTTGGGTCACATTCTCTCGCTCTCCTCTCTCTCTGTTGGTGTTGTTAGCTCGGTCTCAAATTGCACAAGAACAGGCAAACGGGCACAAGGACAATAAGAATAGAAACCAAACCAAGCCGGATTAATGCTATGACGTCCCTTTCTTTTTCCTTGCTTGTTCGACCAGCGCTCGAGCGGCTTTATTTGGGTGCCCGAAAAAGTTAATTAAGGGTTTCACAGTTTATGGAAAATGTCAACTGAAATATATGTGAAATAAGGCGCAGACCAATTGCTGTCAAGGCAACCAGTCAACAGATTCCGCAGCTTCCTCCCTCCGCCCGTCCACTCACGCAGCCTCCCCCTGCCGCCTCTGCTGAAAACACCTAACGGACATCGCCCGCAGCGTTATTGTGGCCATAATTAGCTGCGGCCAAACACTAATTGTGCTCTACCTAGACACAGCTGTGACTCCATCCATCCAGCCATCCATCCATCCAATCATAGTTTCTCCCCTCTCTCCCAACCATTTGGAACTCCGTTTCGAATTTGGTTCTCGGCTTACAGCATTTGTAACTATTTGCTGTAGCGCGTATCGCATTGCAGACACCCGCAGTGTAACTGTAACTGGTACAGTCAGCTAAGTCGACTGACGACTGCAAGTGACTGACTGTACCTGGCATTCTGTGGGGTCGTCTATCGCATCGGCGTCACGCTTCAATTAGGCTTTTATCTCTATTACTATCTTTATTCATTTCTTATATTTCTTTATTTCAAGGTATTGATTTCATAATTCAAGATCTTCCAAACCCTTTTGAGTGTTGGGTAGAGGATTTCGGATCAACTTCATCGTCTTTATTGCTAACACTAAGTCGCTTTCCTTGCATCTTCCATTGCTTCTCGCTTGCTCTCTATTAGTCTCACTCTAAGTTTTTTCTTGTCTCGCTCTTTCTCTCGACTTCTTGCACATTAGTAGTGTCTGTCCCCACTTTTATTCTCTTTCGTTATCATAGCTCTCACTCTTTCTCTATCTCTCTCTCTCGCTTTCTATCTCTATGCCTTTTATAGCTTCTGTTAGTCTCTCTCTCTCTCTCTCTGTCTTTCTTCCTTGCACTCTCTCTCTCTATCTGTCTATCTCTCTCTCTCTCTGCTACTTCCTTTCTCGTTTCTCTTCTCTATGTCTCTATCCCTCTCTCTCCTATCTCTTTGCTTCTGTCTCCCTCTTTTATTCATTCATTTCGCCTTTCCCTTCTCTCTCTCCGCTTAAATCATATTCTTAGATTACGCTAAACACTTGTATATTAATCGAAAGGGGCCTTTAATTAGTTTAGTGACAATTTCAATTGTTGCCCACATAACGCAAGCCGCAACAACACATCCGCAGCCGCATCCGCATTCTGTTGTCCTTCTGTTTGGACTTCCGCTTGCAAGCCGCAAAATTAAAAAATATATATTTGATTTGTTGCCAATTGTCAACTGCAACTGGACATCGACATGGCACAGCAACGCGCTGAGCTGTGACCCCGTTGACCTTTTGTCTGGCGCGTGACAGTTTGCCATTTGAATTCCCTGCACCGCGCCGGGTGGTCCATTGCTATGCAATGCGCACGCGTTCCCTCACCCTTGCCCAAGCCCTCGATCTCTCCCTCTCCCACAGGCTCTCTCTCACACTCGCCCTCATTCTCAGCCTTAGTTTTAGTCTCATTTTTAGCCTCTGCCACTTCCATTGCCTGATCCCTAACCCTTAGCATCTCCCTGACCCTTAGTTTTAGTCCTCTGAGCAGTTGCATCAGCATCAGTCTCATAGGCATTAGCATTAGCATTAATATTAGTATAGTATTAGTCATTAGCATTAGCCATTAGCATTAGTTTTAGTATCAGTCTTAATATTAGTATTAGTAAGCCATTAGCGTTCGTCTTAGTCAGTTGCATTAGCATTAGTCATTAACATTAGCATTAATATTAGTATGTGTTAATATTAGTCATTATCATTAGCCAATTGCATTAGCATTAGTATTAATATTAGCATTAGCATCCGTCTTAGTATATTAGTATTGATATTAGTCATTAGTATTAGCGTTAGTATTAGTCATTAGTATTAGACATTAGCATTAGCCTGAGAACTAGCATCAGCATCAGCACATTCAGTCTTCGGGCGCACACTCTACTTCGTCCTGTAGCTCGCCCTCATCCTGTGCCTATTGCTCCTCCTCACCAACTCTCTCTCACCCTCCGTGTCCGTGTCAACTCTCACCCTTCAGCCTTTATTCGATTTGCTTTGTTTTCAAATATTTGCAGCATAATGCGTAAATGTTTCCAGTCCAAACATTGTCCAATCAACCATTCGCATTCGAATTCCCATTTTGCGACTAGTTTTAAATTAAATTCGTTGTGGGCGTTGTCAATCGATTTAAAAGGGACGCAGCTCCCAGGTCACATAGGTCACTCAAAGTAGATCGTTTCCTTTTTCGGGGCAGCAGGCGGAACAATTGTTCCGCCAATAAATATAAAAATAAATGCATTTCGAATATAAAAATCTTTTGCAACTTTAATTATATTTTCCTACTCTGCGAGTTCATTATTTGTCGGCTCTTTACATCCAATGATGATGCAATGTTGGAGTTGGAGGGAACTTCATAACTTGTACAGCTTGATTGAGCAATCAGTCAGTCTATCAGACAATATCTATCAATAGGACAATCAGGAAGTATAAAAAACACTGAGTCAGTCAATCATTCAACCTAGCAGAGTATCAGTCAGTCAATCAGACTGCGAACCAGTCAGTCGGCTAATCAGACAATCAGTCATTCAAACCATTTGTCAATCAGTCATGCAGCCATTTAGTCTGTCAATCGATTATTTAATCATTCAATCAATCAGTGAATCGATTAATCAATCAACGTATTTGTCATACAGATATTCAGTCAATCAACCAATCAGTCTATCATTCAATCAATCCATTGACAGTCAACCTTGATTATTGACAATTAGTCAATCAGTCAATCAATCAATCAAGAGGGCAAGATATATATTTCACTTTCATTTAAAGGCCACACATTTTCTCTCAGTGTAGCGTTAGCAATTTGAATGATTAAAATAGCTAAGCTCGCTTAGCTCTTGTCAATCATATCCAAGTTTTCGTCTAAGTTCTCATGCTGGGAGTAGAGCATATTCGATGTGAGCAATGTCCGTATGTCAGTCGTTGTCTCTTCAACCTAATCCCAGTTTGGGTTTCGGGTGGTCCCCAAAAACCATTTGATAACCCGAAGCTGTATCGCAATTGAGTTAAGGGCAGTCAGAACTTGATAATCGCTTGAGCATTTGACCTGCATAGGTCGAGGGTTTAATAACTCTATAAGCAATTAGAGGCAAGCACTTCACCCTCTCCCTCTCTCTCTCTCCGTCTCTCTTTGTCTCTGCACTCAGTTTCTCGTCTACCTATGACAGACAGGTTTGTTCAGCAACAGATCCAGATATATCTATATCTGGGCGCTGACTAATGATGCCAGCAAACACGAAGTGGAAGATGAGGCGACAGCTTACTCCATTCAAGCACGAAATGATGAATTATTGTTTTCAAATATCCACAAAGGAAACACAAAAGAAACAAAAACAACAAAAACGAATAGGGCAAAGAATATAAATTGATATTTAAGTATTCGCTTTATAAGTTGATTCCTTTCAATGAGCCACAGATCCTTTGACTGCTCCACGGGACGAAGGCATGGAAAAACTGTTTCTAATTGATTATTGCAACTGTTAAAATCATTTGTGCTTGGCCAAGGCTGAGATCAGTTCACATTTGAGCATTAAACTAAGCTCAATATTAGGTGCCCTAACTTCTTCTATATAACATGTATTAGATATATATATATATCAACCTAAAGAACTAACTGTATTCCTTGAAGTTTCTTAGTTCACAATATTTCGGTTGACTGACTGATTGATTGACAGACTGACTGACTGATTGATAGACTAGCTACTTGATTGCTTGAATGACTGATTGGTAGAGTTGCTAATTGACTGGTTGATTGACTGACTGATTGGATTACTAATTGACTGACTGATTGACAGATTGTTGGACTGATTGATTGCTTAACTGACTGTCTGTCTGATTGACTGGCAGACTGATTGACTGACTGATTAAAAGACTGAATGACAATTAAGCTAACTGACTGATTGATTGATTGACTGCTTATTAGCATTGCTAAGTGTAGTCTCTGATGGAGCGCTTAGGAGCTGACTGATTGACTGACTGATTGTTTGATTGAATATGTTTGGAGATAGTTAACAAGTCAATAAAGTGTTAACCAGACATAATCTCATTTGTATATAGAAATTCCATTCAGCTAAGTCGAAGTCGACTAGACGAAAAGTATGAAAATTGAAATTCCAAATGGCAAAGAGTGTGGAAAATCGATGAATTTGATTGAAGGAGAGAAGTGGAGGGTTTTTGTGTTGTTTGAAAAATGGAAATAAAATTAACACACTTCAAATGGTTGGGCGCAATAAATAAAGTGCGTTTTGCAGCAAGTGCGACATCAACGACAAAATAACAATGCAATAAATCACTTATTGGCAACGGGGTGGGGGAGGCAAGTGGAGGGCGAGAACAGGAGCTGGGGTTGGTGTTGGTGTTGCCAATTGACAGGGCTGTGCAGCAGGGCCGGGGGTTCTGCTCTCCGGTCTGCGCTGATAAATTGCCAGCCGATGCCGAAGGCAACAACAGACAGGCGAAGGAGCAGGAGAAGGCGCTGCAGCTAGCTAAATGCAGGCAATGTAATTCGTATCTGTGAATCGCATTCGCATCTGTCAGATACGCAGTTGCATTTAGCAAATTGCCAAAAGTCGCGCAAGTAGCGCATCCAATCCTAGACGCCAAATGTGGCTTTTGCATTTCTCTCGACTTGTGGAAATATAGTTGGCTGCAATGGTAAAAATATTAACGGGATAATAAAAACTCGTATTAATAAGATAGTTAAATAATATTTATTTTATACTTTTTTGATTAATTTATTTGTTTTTAATTTTATTTTGTTTTGAAAATAAAAAAATTATGATTATTTAATTTTTTATTTATTTATTTTTTTAATATTTAACTGACTATTTTGTTTACGGCAGCAACCACTGTGCAAGCGATCTACGCTTATGTTGCTATCGTACACAGTAAAGGCAATGCAGCAACATGAGTCTTGGCATGTAATGCAACATTCGAAAAAGGGCAACAAGTGGCCGTTCAGAAATGTTGCCATTCCAACAAAAAACAAAAACGAATTAAAGACATTTAAAAAGAGAATTAAAAAAATATTTAAGTTAATAATATTTCTGCAACAATAAAAACAGCTGCAACAACATGCGAAATGTTGCTCAGCATTGTCAGCTTAAAGCTGTGTTAAGTAAACTGAGCTATGGATAATATTAAATATTATATAAATAAGTAAAATATAAATTACAAATTTTTCTCATAATTTTGTTTAAATTTTTGATTGCTTTTTATACACTGTGCGCTGCAATCTGTTAATGCCAATTAACATAAATGTTGCTGCTAAATGTTGAATGTTGCTAAGCGCAAGTTCTCTCTAGCTAACTGGCTCTCTCGCAACACGTCGCGTTTGCGTTGCTAACAAAACTAGCAGCGGACAGCGCGTCGCCCAACTTCAGCAACATGCTGCCAGCCGCCTGGCCGTTATTATTCAACGTGCTGCTATGACGCCGCCAAGCGAGCGAGAGAGAGAAGTGAGCGCCCAGTCGCCGCGCGATTTCAATTCATTCTCATTTCGTTTGTCGTGGCAAGTGGACGTTGTCTGCTCTCTCTCTAACTGTCGCCGTTGCCGTCGTCGTGTGCGTGTTCTTCGTAATTTTTAGTTAACTGTGGTAACACGTTCCGCGACGTTCTTAACGTTTATCGCATCGGTCACTCTCTATATATATACGCATATATATGAGTATGCGAGTGTGTGTTTGTGCCAGTTAGACAATGAAATATTGGTAATACTCATTACTGTTTCTGTTTTTTTTTCCGTTATTTTTTCTTGCCTTCATCTTTTTTGTGTGTTTTTCTTCAACAAAAATAACTTTGCGACATTTTTGAGTTGTTTTTGCCGGAAGAATTTAAAAATAAACAAGAAATTGGGCGAAAATGTGTTTGAAACTAATTTGATTTTTTTTTTTTATCACGTTCTTAAATTTGTTAATAGTAAAACATTTTTTTTAATATGTTTTGTAAAGAAAAACAAAAAAATAACAAAGCAAAGAAAATGAAAACTGGTTTTTTCCAATAGAGCGAATGACGCCCTCTTTTGGTTGTTGTTGTTGTCATTACAGCTACAGTGAGCGTTAAAAAAAATATGGTCAAAAACAAAAAAAAACTTGAACCGTTAAATAAAAGGGAAAAGAAATATGAGTGCTTTTTAGTTTTTTTTTTTTTTTTGTTTTTACATTCAAAGTTACCAACATTTAGCCAAGTTTATAGTTTCTTGCATTTCAAGGCCATCACAATATTGATTAAATATAAAATATAACGAAATTGCTCGGGACTGGCGCCATCTGTCGGTCGAACCTGTTGCAGTTCAAGGACATTTGCATAGAGACATGCAATTTAGCTAAGCTTTAAGTGCATGTGTTCTGCCTCTCACACTCTCTCTGCCTGCCTGCCTGATTATGTGTGTGTGTGTGTGTCTGTGTGAGTGAGTCAGTTGAAGTGCTTATCATGCGGCCGTTACGAAATGCCTAAACAAAAAAAATTGCAACAACAAAGACAAACAAAACTGAACGCGCGCTTTCGACGCGCTCTCTCGCTCTCGCTCGCTCTCTATTTCACGTTCACTGATGTTCACAGTGAGCGCCCACCCACACACACACACGTAAAATACTCATAAAGAGCGGCTACCTGCACGATAAGCATCAAAAAAAAATATTAAAAAAATTATTGGAAAAGTCAAGCAGTAGATAAATTTATAAAAAACATTCTTATTTTTTTTTTTTTTTGCTATTTAAGTATGCGTGTGAGCGCGCTGCTTATGCAGCGCCCCCTCTCTGCTGCTACGACGTGTTTCGACTGCAGACAGCGCCGCAATTTCCGTTACAAAAAACTGGCCAAGCAGCGACGTTACACACATGTGTGCGTCGCAGTCGCAGTCGCAGTCACCGTCGCTGTCGCAGCGCCAGCAGGTTTACTGCTGCCAACTTTAGAATGCAAAGGCATGGAGGAAAAAGACAAAGCCAAAGCGCAAATGTTACATACGCACACACACACACGCGCGCACACACGCACACACATGCATGTTGCGCTCACTCATAATCGCCTCGCACTTGCGACTCATTCAGAGACAAGTTTTCGCCGTCGCCGTCGCCGTTGCCGGTTCCAGTCGCCGCTGTTGCTATGAAAATCGCTCGTGTGTGACGCAGCAGCAACGGTGACTGCGGCTCCGACAGCGACTGCGATGCGTTTTTCAACGTTCTTTGTTGTTGAGTCAGTTGGCCTGACCAAAAAGTAAAGGCCAACATTTGGCATTTTAACGAGCTGCGGCTTAGCGCTAAATCCAATTGTCAGACATTTCGTTGCTTTTCGCACTCGCTGCTAACTAAAGTTTAACAGCAAATTGAGTTCCTCTCTCTATCTGTTCTGCTTGTCACTTGAGAAAGTTGTTAAACTCATTCGTTAGTTTGTCACTCGTTACTCGTTAGAGTTTGTGAGTTTGAGTTCCAACTTGCGCCAAAATAAAGTGAGTTTAGTGAGAGTTCTATAAAGTGCAGACTTAAAGTCTTTCCCTCTCACTCTCGTTTGTTAGCTTTTTACTCGTTATTCCATTAGAGAGAGAGAGTTAGAATTTAATAGACTGTAATGCAGTTTGAATTTAAGCTTGGCATTGTAAATTTGTTTGTTTTGTAATTTAAAAGTTGTTAAACTCATTCGTTAGTTTGTCTCTCGTTACTCGTTGGAATTTATTAATTTGATCTTGTAAAAGTTGGAAATGAGGTTGATTCCATGGCTAATCAACTTAGTGAAACTAACTGTTATTCGTTCATTTTTAACTCGTTACTCGCATACGATGTTTTTTTTTTTTTAGTTAACTTGGCCAATTACTAATCATAAGCCATATATTTTTGCCTCATTTCAGATATCATACACAACGCATTATTAACTTCAGATACAATCAGCGAGTCACTCGCTCTCGCTCTCGTTAATAGCCAACGAGTGTCTGTGACCGAAAAGTGCGCAATTTATAAATAAAAGAAATAAATTCAAATCACATTAAAGCAACTGCGAATTTTTTATACATTTTTTTTACTGTGTGCAACGCAACAAAGCGAAGAAAGAGAATAAAACAAAGAAACGAAGAAGAAGGAAAAACTGCAATAAGAAAACAGTGAAAAACAACGACAAAATGGGCCAACTGCAAAGGCAGCGAGTGGCTCGACTCGCCACACTACTCTACGTAATGCTCTGCAGCTGTTTGACTATAGGTGAGTGCTATAATTTTATAATTAGACACGAGCGAACGTTGCGAAATGAAGTTGTAAAGCGTAAATTGCATTTTCAATCAAAACAGCAGAAAATAAAAGAAAAAAGGAAGCTATATACCGTTTAGACGAATGCCCTCTTTAAGAAATTGAAAAACTGGGGGAAAAAACTATCGAAACTAATCATAAAAACGTTTTGCTACCCATGGAAAACTGGACTAGAACAGGGTAGATTGGTAACGGTGTGCAAATGTGACTGACGCTAGAAATATTTATATATATATATAAATATACATATATATATAATATATATATATATATATATATATATATATATATATATATATATCTATTCAAGCTGAATTGCATTAGTGCTAATAATTACTCTATTAAACAAACCAAACATTCATCTATCTGAATATTCATAGAAATTCGTCTATTTCGTGACTTGAAATTATTAATAAATATTCTAAAATTATGTTAGTACGTCAAGTCGTATGTATGACTCTTTGATAACGTCTCATCAAATCAGGGAATTTCTATATCTGGTATAACCGAAACCGAAGCTTGACTGAAAGGGTCGATAAATAAATCGATAAGTATCGATACTGTGACTTGTGTTTTTCAGGCTAACTTAAAGCCGTTTAAAGCTAGATATGGCTAATTTCAGACTCTAAGCATAAAAGCAATAACAGTTCCGTGCAGGATTTCGGGCATTATTTACTAGAGCTTTGGACGTATACGCGACTCGGTTGCATATACTTCTCACATCATAACTTAGGTTCTGTAACTTGAATCGAAGTTAATCAATATCAAATTTAACGTAGAGCGGAGACAGAGTGGCTGCTCTATAAAGTAAGTTTTGGGTATTTTCCAGCCATGCACTGCCAGCCTTAGCGGATTTTTTATTCTTTCCACAAATTTCCACTTTAATATCTCGCTCTCTGTGGCTACTCAAACGCTAAGCAAATACGACCCAAAAGAAAAAACACATTTCGTAGAAACACAATTGAAATCCCTAGGACTAGGCCTAAAACTCTTATCGTTCGTCGTCAATATTTATTCAACGAGACCCCTTATCGCACACACACACAGGCACAGGCACAATCGAGATGAGCTCTAATGCAAATATAATAAAAGAATCGAGGCCGTTGGATCTGGTTGTATTACAATTGTCGCAATTGTCGCTGCAAAGTCTTGTTTTTGGCTAAATGAAATTGAATTTACAGCCAATCCGACTTCTGGGCCTCCATAAACGTTTCGTGCGCAAATATTTGCCCGGCGAATGTCACAGAGATGATATTACGAAAGACATATTCTCGCTATCTGTCGGAATAAACCAGAATTTGTATATCTATACAGAAAAACTCTCCGAGTACAGGTGTTGCCTAGGCAGTGTGTGACCTTCAATTAAGATTGCTTATATACATATATATATATATATATATATATATATATATATATCTTGTGTCATACGTTATGTATCGTACATCGTGTATGGTTCATAGTGTACATCATGTATCGTGTATTGTATATCGTACATCGTGTATGGTGTATCGTATATCGTAAATCGTATGTTGTATCGTAAGTCGTATATCGTACATCATATATCGTATAACGTGCATACTATATTGTATATCACAATCAAATATCGTAAACTTATATCGTAAATTTATATCGTATCTTCTATATTACAAGTCTTAAATCGTATATTATACATTAAATAGCGTATATCGTACTGTATGTAGTATATAGTATATCGTATATCGTATATCCTATATCGTATATATCTTTTTGATAACTCCAGCTAGGCAAATCAAATTTGCTCTCCGTTTCCATTGTCCTTTGCCTCTCCCAAAAGTAATTTCCAATAAATTTTATAACTAGTTTTTGCTTTTTTTTTATTTATTATTATAATTTATCAGAGATATATTCTTATAGACAATTTGATCGTTGCACTTATACATTTATAAAAAAAAAAGAAGATGAAACGAAATTTTCAAAGTGTTTTGTTTTTCTTTTTGTTTTGCGGTCTACATATGAGGAGGATTCTTAGGTACAGTCTCGTTGGGTAATACAAAGGGATTGATGCTACTCTGACACACTACTCTATAGACTCCATGTAGATTAAAGCACAATTCGTTGCAAATCGATTTGCGTCTGGCTCCAATGAAGGTTCTGTTCAAGCTGTGGTCCCTTCGTATCCCTTCGAGAGAAGACGAGTAAGAGTGAGTGAAAGGGTGTAGATATAGGAAAGGAACTTACCCACCTTCCAGGAGTGTACGGAGACGGCGTATATTTAGATGATGTATTTTTATTTGTAAATTTACCCATTCTCTACGAGCGAGCAACTGATTGGTGCAGAACGAACTAAGCCATTTTCTCAGACGATGACTTAGGAACTAATGATCTATACAGAAGAGTGCGGATTTCAAAAGGCCAGTAGGTGTTTTAGAAACTTACACGATTTACTCAATTTACTCTGGTGGCAGGCACATTTAGGCTAGCCCAGTATGAGGCCCAGGCCGAAGCGAAAACGACTGCTGAAATGGTTCATCTTGCCGCTAATCTGCAGCAGAATGGGCAACGGGTCGAGTCGTTTCTCGCAGACGGCGCTGATGACGCCGCGCGTATCGATGCCGCCGCGAAAGCTGAAGCCGACGCGTGGCATATGGCAGTGGTAGCACAGCCTGGAGATGGCCTGACGCTTAAGGATGTTTGCCTGCAGCTGAACACTGGCGCCCAAGCTCTCGCCATAGATCTGAGTGTAGCAGAGCTCCAGAGCATGCAAGCTGAGCATGGCGGACCACTGTCGATTGTCCTGCTGATAGCGCGCCACAGCCGAGACCAGCGCCGCCTGGCCGCCCGGCACAATGTCCTCGCGCTGATAGATCACATCAACGCCCAGCGCCAATTGAGCCGTTACCTGCTGCAGGTACGATGCGACAAAGACGCCCATGCTCTGCATCACATCGATGTTGCTCAGCACACAGGTGCAGGTGTAGTCCTCGCCGAAGTAGTCAATGAACAGACGCGAATTCTGCACCACCGAGTCCAGGATGGTCGCTGTTAGCTTGGTGCGCCAGCACGGCGTTATGAAGTGCATTAGGTTGGCGGTGATATTGCCACGGGCGTCCATCTCACCGATTAGCAGTGGGTAGGACTCGCCGCTCAGCTCGTGCACCTGATCGCCCTGGTAGCTGCAATTGAACTGGCAGTCGATCGTCTGCGGCCTGTTGCCCGCATGCAGACTATGACCGACGGTCAGATAGTTGCCCAGAGCACGGCTGACATTCAAACGGAATCCGTCGAATGTCTGCGGCATCATATCGTGGCAACGACGATGCAGCTCGGCCACAGTGCCCGGATTGCCGAGACGTTCGACAAACTTTAGACCGCCTAGCCAAGGTATGACTGTGGACCGATTCACTGCCCCGGACGAAGGCTTGCCATAATCATCTAGATTGTCGTGCTGCTTCTGCTCCAGGTGTATCTCGAGTCGTCGCTGCTCGGTTATATCATAGCCATCACCCTCGTTGGCCATGCGGAGGCCAAAGAACCGATAGAATTTGTCTTTGTCCATATTCGATTGCACCGGGTCCACATGCTCTGGCTGTTGTGGGTGTACATTGCCCATTGCTCGCTGTTGGTCCTTTAGTTCTTGCTCTGCCAAAGATCTGCGTATTTGGGTACAGTATTTAGACATCGGAATCGGCAATCTCCCAAACCCCTTCCACCCAGTCGTTTGACCACTAACTAAAAGAAAACTGCGACCAATTACCACATCCGCTTCATTTGTCCAACCACTTCTTTCGCTCTCCTCTGCTCTAATCTGTTCTACGCTCTTTCTCTCACTTTCGTATCGTCATCAGCTTCTGTGTACTCTGCGGCTTTTGTCTAACCTTTCTCTAAGCGGTCAGGGAGTTCGTTGAAAAGGGGGCCTCTGAGTTGCCAGAGACCCATACCGGTATTTGCTGCCGGAACTGACTAGACACAGTTCTAATGACAACAACAACAACAACATCAATAGAAGAGACGAGATTCGTGAGATGAGCTTAACGAATTTGAAATATACTTGCTGCAGTTCGTACTTGGGGTATCTATCAAGTTAATTTGTAATAAAGACAAGAGAGGGGAAAGCCAAGAGAGGCAACAACTAGACTTAAATACTATACAGTTATTTGATTCTTGACTATATAGCATTGAAATTGGGAAATGAACAGCAGAGAATGGGAATCTATTAGAATATGGAGCCACTATTAACTGATTTGTATGTGATATACTGTTATATATACTGTTATACTAATATGTGTATGCTACTATATACAGTATATACTACTATATATAATTATATTGTATAGTACTAAATGATATTGTGAGCTACTATTTGGATAAACTGAACTCTATGATAGGCTGCTATATGAAACTACTACTAAATTAATGAATTCTATTAGATGTACATTTCAGATGTACCACTATATGCTACTGCTATATGATGTAGTATAAATAGTAGTAGTTTATATACTACTAATATGAAATAGTGCTCAATGAACCTACTGCTGTATGTTATACTACTATTTGGTATACATATATATATTTCTATATTATCTTTATTTACTATATGGTAAGGCTTATGCTATACTGTTAGTCTTCTACTGATATGCTACTATTTGGTATACTTACAGTAGTAGCATGATATGTTCATATATTAATGAGACTATATGATATACTCGATATATGTTAAGCTAACCATACTGCAATATGATACCACACTATTTAGTATACCCACATATGATAGATATGATACTACAGTGCAATGCAGACCCGTTTGGAAGCCCCTGCAACAGATGTTATATAAGCTATATCTATATGCAGATCGTTTGCAGTTGCTCTAGAGGCTATCTACAGGCAACTCCAGCTCCAGGCTCAGCTGCCCGAAGAGCGATGCGTTGCACATGTCATGCGAAGCGCGCGTTGCCCCCTGCAAAGAGTATACAAAGAAAAAGCATAAAAAAAATTATAATGAAATTAATTAACGCAACTTTTTTGTGAACGAACATGTCCAACATTTTCTTTTTTATACTTTTTTCGTGCTGCTCTTTAACTGTTGCTGTGGGCAAGTTCTGCGCTTGTATTTCGTGTTTTTTTTCTGTATTTTTTGAGGCGACATGAAAAGAAGTCGTCATCGTGCCGCATGCCGCTGGCCGCTGGCCGCATGTGCCTCAATTGATGTTGCAAGCACATTAACCTACGCTCGCTGCATTAAACGGTTCTTGTTTCATATTTTATGGCTGCCCGCCAAGAGCCCAGCCGGATGACAAAACAGAGTCACACAAACTCTTGGAACTTCCCGAACACATAGAGCGCTGCGAACACACGTTCCAATTAGCCCAGAACCCAAGAACTTGGGAACTAACCCACTTAATTGCCCGCCCAGCTTTCACTGAAGCCTGAGAAAAGTACAAGAACCAAGAGACGAACACACTGACAACTCTGAACGGCAGAGCAGCAAACAGCGAAACCAGACAAAGTGACTTCAACTAAGAAATTAGCAATGAAATTCGCAGGTCGAAATACCCTGTAAAAAGAAGCTATAATGGAACGATCTTATAACGGTAAAACCCAGACTGAGAACAAATAATCTACTATCTAACTTAACACTTATCGATCACATTTATCGATAAGTCAAAGCTTAAGTTTGAAAATGTCAATTTTAAGCTAAGTTTGTTCTAGAAAGACTTAGCCTTAAGACGCTAAAATGCTTAAATTAAAATTTTAAGTTATCGATAATTCATCGATCAAGTGAAAATTTAAGACTTCCTTTAAGTTAATCTGTGGGTTAGAAGCGCTTCGGCTTATTCACTTGACTAAAATCAGTTGGTAGAGACTTATCGATTACATTTATCGATATGTTTAAGTTGACTTTAATTTGAAATATGTGAACTCCAAGCGTACAAAAGAAAAGTATAAGTTATCGATCTGATGAAAACGCTTTGATCAGACTAAATCCAATTGAGCGAACCAACTTAAGACTAAGACTAAGTTTAAGCCTATAAAGCAGAGGTTACTTAGGAATATGCTGATAAATTTATATATGAAAATAAATTATGACGGAGATGACAGAGGGCGACATTCATGTTAACCCTTGAACTTAACGAAGCATAATGCACATAGACAAAAGGAGAAGAAGCTGCAGCTGAAGCTAAAGCAGATGCAGACGCAGACGCAGAAGTAGGACGAGGAGACAACTCTCCGTCTCTGTAAGTTGCTTTCTCTCTCAATCTATCAAAATTCACAATTTGAATTTCTTGGGAAGCTCTTGACGAAGACTACGCAGTCTTGATGAACTCCTGTAGTAGTTGTTGTTGCTGCTGTTGTTGTTATTGTTGGTCAGCAGCAGCAGCAACGGCAGCAGCAGCTCTTGAGCCTGGTCTTTTGTGGCACTTGAGCGTACCGAGAGCGAGGCAGGAAAAAGGAAATTCCAATTATGTTGCAAGTCTGGCCGTGCGTAGAAAAAGAATTGTTGCCACGTCTTTTATGTGCAGCGCTCCCTCCCTTGCCCCAACTGCCCCCGCCCTGCGCTCCGCTCTCGCCGCTCTTCCTTGTTGAGCTGCTGTTTGTGTCGCCTGCAGCAGTTTCTATGCCGCCATTTGCTGTCGCCCTCTACTAACTCGCTCACTCTCTCTCTCTCGCTCTCCTTGTTTTAATTTTAATCCAGTAAAGGGCATTTTTATACAGCCACGCCTCCTAGTGGGTCGCCCACTTTTGCTAGAATCGTCTTTTGTTAGTGCGCTTTTTCCCTTTCGTAGCCCGCTTTTGTTTTGGCTTTGGTTTTAAGCCGCGCATTTGCTTTTATGAAACTCAGCAAGAAATTTAGGAACAACAACAACAAAGTGGCTTAAAGTATTATTAGCCAAATGAACTCTAAAATGAACTAGAAACCCAAAAGCATTTGCCAAAACATTCCCCAGTCAATGCACTTTGATTGTCGAGCTTGTTCTAAGGTTTCTTGTGGTAGACTCAATTTTATGTTAAATCTTAGTCTTAACCACTTTGTGCTTGGCAGTCTTAAACAGAGTAGACCCAGCTCTATCTGTGGTTCATGAAGTCTAGTAGAAGAAAGTTAACACTAAGTTATGTTAAGCTCTACAACTCGAGGAGTTTCAGGTCAAGCTCTACAACTCGAGGAGTTTTAGGTCAAACTATGAGAACGCATAAATTTAATTCATATAATTCTTAATTCATTTGAACAACTCATCAAAGGCATCAAAAGCGTTGCACTTCAACTGAAACTAAATTCTAGAAAATACATCAAATGGCTTAAATTCTACGCCAGATTTAAGCGAACTACATAAAAATTTAGCTTTATTTTCACTCAGAATTCATTTGAAGCTGCGCAGCGTTTATATCCTATGAAAATCACGTCATAAAACACGAAAGTGGATATAAACGAGTCGCTTTAAAGAGTTCTCCTTGGACTTACACGCTGGGAGCTCATGATTAACTTAGATGTGATTCTCACAATCTAATCATGATTATAATGAGCTGCATAATGTGCGCAATCTGCAATGCATATAGCGAATTGGGATGGGAAGTCTTCTAGACGATGAGTATTATATTAGCATAACTTTGGCTTTTTACCCCACTCTCGACACTTGACTTGGGGGCTTCCTTCTGCTGCCTGCGCTACGTTATTTTTCGACAGACAATTAGTTGAAGTTGATCCAAAAACTTGCGCATAATTAGCAACCATTGTTGCCCCGCATCCCCCCACGCCTCACTCGGTCCCTGCCTCTGCCTCTGCCAGCTGCCAAGTCATAAATTAACTGTAAATGAGCAAAAGGCCAAACCGCGCCCAGCCCGAAACTCCGGCTCCTGTCTCCCAACCAAACTCTCGCCCAAAAAAAAACTGGAATACCCATTGACTTGCTTCGGGTGGCTGTGTGTGTGTGTGTGGGAGGACCTCGGATAATTACGACTAAGTAGCTGCATAGACTAGATAAGTATATAGATAAACAACGAACTATGCCCCACGTAGGGGCAACACAATTCAGCTTGGCCCTGTGTTGCTTTCGATTAACAACAAAGAGTTGCACAGCTCGTTTGTTCCCTTTATCAGCTTTCAAGCTCAAGTGCAACAAACAGTATACAACACATATCCCACTCGATGCCATGTGGCATAATTACAAGTGCATCGGAATCTGCATCAAAATGATGGGAAACTCGACGCGAGTCGGCCAAATGAAAAAAGCAGCAACAAAAGAAGTGAATTAAGTGAAAAACAAAATAAAAAGAAAAGACAAGTAAAAGTGCTCAGCTCGGGTAGACGCGACTAGACAATACCCTGAAGCCGAAAAGCGACGAAGCTCGAACTTGGAGAGAAAATTAACTTTCGAGTGGAGCCTTTCTTATTGCAGTTGCCTGCCAAATCTGTTGAGTAGAAGCTTAATATCTATAAAGAAACTCGATCATCGATCAGATATACTTCAGATCAAATCAATGGATCGCACATCGGACGGAAGGTCGGACGACCGCAGGCAAAAGGTCGGAAGGTCGGACATCAGACAGACTTCTATGCAGATAGAACAAGATCAAGTCAAATATTACTGCTGATCAGAGAGACTAGCTCTATATACGTTTATAAGCCTTGCTCTGGCTGTTACATGCACTTCGACCAAAGCAGCATGCCCTGTTGCAGCAACGTTTCGTTTTGTGCTGAGCATAATTATGCCAATGTTTGTGTCAGTTTCAAGTGTCTTCGCTGTAGCGACAGGCGCAAAGCCCAAACTCTGGCTTTGCTGCGAGCTTCTTGGGATGCCATTAAACAAGTTTTTCTCAGTTGCAATGCGGTTGAGCGCGGGGGCAGGCGGTGGCGGCGGCGGCGGGGCTTGGATTGCAGCGTGGTAAATGAATACCCGCATAATGCCAGAGGAATTACAAAAAATATATAAAAAAAACACAAGAGCAACAACACACAAACAATAAGTAGCTAAACCCAAAAACCAGCTCAGCAGCAAAAACAACAACACAAATTACTGTGCACTGAAAATACAAATGAAGGATTGTTTGGCTCCGGCATTGTGGGCCCCACAGCCCCGCACTGTCTGTCTGTCTGTCTGTCTGTCTTGTTTCTTTTTTCATTTTTCTTCTTTTAAGTATGATGAATGAATTTTAAATAATAAAAAAGAAAAAGAGCCACTCGCCTGGTAAAAATAATTATCATAAATGATATAGCACACATGCACAAACGATCTTAAGTCGACTGTATAATACATGACACATCGTAAATGTCATGCGCTATATGTTATACGAGATACTATAAACCACACTAAAAGTCTAATATCATATATCCATTATCACTCGTCAGTTTTTTGTCTTGTGATCAACGAGCTAAAATGTTATCACATGGAAACTTTACCCAGTCAAATTCTCTTACAATACTTAAGTCTCAGACTCGGCTAATATTAAACCTAAGCTAACAGCAGAAGCTGAAAAAGCTCTTGAAAAACTACTTGGATTTATCTTAATGCTTTTATAAGCAAAACATATAAACTATGCCTATAAGATTGGAGATTGAAGATAGTAGATGAAAGGTGGAAGGTGGAAAATGGCAGATGGAAAATTAAAAATAGAAAATGGAATATTGAAGCTGTAAGATGTAAGATGAATAGAATATAATAGAAAAAAGATAGATCTGTCACGTAAGCCTACATCTGCATAGGAAACGCTCTTCCTATAGCTCTTTCTTGGCCATCCTGTATCAATCACCAGCTCGACTTACCCAAAAAAAATCTCTGTTAAAATTTACCAAATATCGTGATATCACAAAATGATTTAAATTTGTACGGATTTTGGTGTTACTATGTGTTTGTTGTACATCTAGTTTTTAGGTCTCTGGTCCCATTGGTTAGCACAATTGAATCGGTCGAAAAAAGCGAAAAATAATCTTTTGTTTTAGACTTTGTTGTTATTACAATTTCTAATCTGACAACTAAAGAAAATGTTTTGACTGTTAACTCCCAAAATATTGTAGATCTCCCTGTCTCTGTCAGGAACTGTGTTAGTTGAAGGAATGCTTGTGTTAATACAAATGTCGTCATATACAATGTCCATAATATTTTGTACAGAATTCGTTTGATTGCTAGAAAGGTTGACCAGTCCAGGCTGATAGAAACAGGAAATGCTGCCAGACGTGCTGCATGCCTTACAAGTGCGCCCCTGGCATACTAAATTGAGTTATTTAGTCGGCATTGGCATGCGTAATGCATTAGCCAGTGCCTAAAACCTAAGACCTGAGAAGAGGGCCGCTACCTGTGCGCCGTGTGGATTGAGCCAGCCTATCTATTGAACCATCTAAAGAGGGTCTAAAGCGCTCAGGTAACGACGACTGGCATACACAACTAATTGCTAATTGGATTATGTCTTACTTGCACACACACAGAGAGCAGGAGACACAGAGCGAGCGAGAGCAATAGAGATATATATAGAGAGAGAGAGGTTGGCTGAGTGAGTGAATGCAGGCAATGGCGTGTGCCAAAAGGTCAATGATACGAGCAACGCCTTTGGCCGTAATCCAGGTGTTTAGACTGGACTACAGTACAGCCCCAACGACCGTTGGCTGCATTTTTAATTGACTCCACAGCCTTGTCTCCTCACGCCCTGCCTCTTCCTTTCCCTCTCTCTCTCTCTATCTATGGCTATGTTGCAATTGCATAACAATGAAACGGGGCGCTACCTAGTTCGATTTCATTTTCAAGTTACCTTTTACCCATGCCCATTTCCCTGATTGCGACCTCAATTGTCGTGGTCGTTGACGTTTCGCATTTGTTGCCAGTGGTCTTAGTTACCATTTGCATGGCACAGATCCCCTGGTTCCATAGCCTGTGGCCAGGGACTCTGCTTGTAATTGGTAATGCAAAGTGCATGGAGCACAGGTCAATTGTTGGTGCTCATAGCTGCTAGAGTCATGTCTTCTGCGTCCTGCGTCCTGTGCCCTGTAGCCCCACAGTCTTTGTTGCTTTTTCTTCTTCCTTCCCATATTTTTTTCGGAACTGTAGTCGTTTAATCAATTCGTTTCTATTTCACATTTCTGAATTCCGTATGCCGTCTGGGCAATTGTTGAGTGACCAGCCGGAGCAGTGAGGCAGTGAGGCAGTGAGGCAGTGAGAGAGTCTATTGTTTTCATTGGTTTTTTCCATTTGGAACGAATATGTCGAGTTCTCAAACAGTGTAACGGCCAGTCCAGCCAGTCCAACAGTCCAATAGTCCAACAGTCTAACAGTTTGGCAATATTTCAATCTCTGTCTCCAATTGTTCACATTTCCCTTGCAGTTGTAGTCGGTTTTAATTGTATTCAACTTTGCATAACCCTAATCCTCTTGCAGTCTCTTCATCTTTCATTGTTTATCTATTTATGCTCTCTGTCCATTTAAATGGATTTCAAAGAATGTCTGTCAAAATGGGCTGCAGATGGGTCTAGCCTTACATTGTGCTCGATTACCACAGGGTATTTCTTAAGCATATATGCATGTACTATTTAAGTACTACTGAATATGTATGGGTTTAAAGTGTATAAATTCGAACTATATATTACAGGGTAGCTGCTAGTCTACTAGAGGCAAACTCTAATACGTATTACTGAGCATTTAAAAAATGTATTCAAAAAATGCATTGATTTTGTATGGAAAATTACAGGGTATTAGGCTAGTCTGATAATCAGTGACATTAATATTCACTCATAATGTTACTTTAGCTCATTTAGAATTTATACTTATTCAGATCTACACATTCCATGCTCAATTTCAGCGGTTATAGGGTATCTGCTGAGCTGATATTAAGCACTACTCAAAATTTCGCAATATTATTTGACTATCCCATATAGAAGTTCTTCGCTTTAAGCAGTTATTGTTCAATTCAGCCTATTACAGGGTATCTGCTAGTCTGATATTCAATCTCTCTGCTGGTGGTAGTTGATTGAAACAACTTTAAAAAACTTCTGCTTGAACCCAGAGCATTAGGAACTCAAAGCTAACTTATATAGGGTATCTGCTAGTCGATCAGTCTACGTTTGTTTGCTCTTCGGCTTTCACTTGCTTCCACTTGCCTGGCATTTAGTATCTGGTAGTGTTCCCACTCATTACATTTCCCACACTCCAATTGCTTAGCTCCCACGCCCACCTCACGCCCGAAATGCCGCTGCCGCTGCCGCTGCTGCTGCTGTTGCTGCTTCTTCTTCATCTGATTCCTGTTGCAAACTCTTCCTCTTCTACTCTTCTTTTTGCTGCACTTTTCCCACCATTAAGCTGCAAACTATCAGCTGCAGCTCATCAACTCTGACAAGGGGCCAACCAACAAAATAAAACGAAAAAAGAGGAAGAAAAAATGCATCCACAGATTTACTTTGGTCTACCCATTTACCTGGTTGCCTCTACCCCCTTTCGGCCAGGCATTTGCGTTTTGCCAATTTTCAGCATTTAACCAAATAAACCGACTCGCTGGTTCATGCCCCATGCCTTTGACTGGCTCGCTGCAGCCTTAACCCGGCCCCCCTTTTAGCTGCCTCTGGTTAGATTCCTTTTGCCTCTTCCTCTCCTCCTTAGCTCCATTGCTGTTCCATCATATTCGCATGCTCTTGGCATCGTCGAGCGTTGGTGTCATTATCAACCTTTTTTGCCACACCTCTGACCTCCCTTGGCACGTCTCTATGTTCCCTTGTGCATCTCATTTTGACCATTTTGAGTTTCATTTGCTGAGTGTTGAGAGTTACTTTGACTACAATTTACAGCCTCTGGCCGAACCTCCTTTACCTACGCCTCTGCCTGTACGATCAGCTCATCAACGCCTGCGCTCGCCAAAAAAAAAAAACATGCAAAACATGTCCACAGCGTTGAGTCAACTCCAACTCCAATTCCTTCTAGGCCCATCCCCCTCAGCTACGCCCCTGGCTTACGCCTGCATAGTTTAGCTTGCATTTTGATATTCGCAATACGCCAACGTTCGCCTCGCATCACAGGAAAATGCTGTTAAACGAGAAGGCGCCCCTCCCCGTCCCTTTGGCTCGCCGCCCATGGTAAGAGCTCTTTGTTTGCATTTTAGTCATGAACTTTTAAACATTTGTCATGCATAATTTGAGCAGCAAATGTATTGGAAAGAATTTTAAATTGATTGTTATTGTTGTTCGGACTTTGGTGAACTTTTTTCGGACCAAGGGCTGCAAGAATATTGGGGGGTGGCATGCGATGGGCGGGTAGGCGTGTCAGTCAGACATCAGCATTGTCAATAATTAGCTTAGCCCATTAATAATCCAGGAATGCAGACGCCTCGACATAAGCTGACTCAAGAGACGCATCGGACCTGAGCTTCAGTTTGGGGCTTGATGAGGCTGTGGGTTTTTGCGGCTCGGTCGTTCGGATGCTGGCTGCAAGATTAATGATGCAGCTTACATATTACCTGCAGCTAAATGTGATGCATCTTCAAAATCCCCCGACCCCGACCGCAACCCGAGCACCGGCCCCCTCTTGCCCCTACGCAAACATGTGTCTGGCAAAAGTAAATGTTCGTTCACATTGAATGGCTGAGCTGTCAGACAGAGCGAAAAAGAGAGACAGAACGGGAGCGAGAGAGAGATAGACAGACTATATGTTATGCTGCTTAACTTATGGTTTTATCTGTTGGTTTCAGCTTGCGCTGGGTTTGAGTGCCGCAAAACTTTTTTGATATACCTTTTCCGGGGGCTTCCAGCGAATCGGGCTGACGATTCGCCCGCTCTCAGAGTTGATGTGATTTTTGGATTTTCAGTTCTCTCTCTCCAGCGCTCGCTCGCTTTTTTTAGACAATTTCTGATGATTAAATTTTAGTGATTCAGTTTCTGTGTCTGTGGACATCTTTGTGAATTCCATTTATGGTTGTCTTACTCTGACGGCTCAAAGGCGCCTTTGACTAGACAAATTTCTGTGCTCAACGCAATTTGAAACAAAACCCAATTCATGGAGTCAGCCAAAAGGACCCAAAGTCCTTGAGCTCAAAACAATGCGACGCCGAAACTTGCAAATTCAACGAATCCATAGAATTGAGCTAAGCCGAATTGTGTTGAGTTGCGTTTCTAGCGAGTCAGTTCAGTCAGTTCATATTTTTCGTCTTTTAATGGGCTTTACGGACAGCAATTAGGATTTTTTGTGATGAAACGGGACTTTATGGAATGCTCGAGTCGGGAGTGTTCGACTGGAAGATACCCTGTAGCAAGATATTCCATGGTGTTTCACTCTAATTGAAATGGCTCAAGACTCATGGGTCTACGGCTAGCTGCGATTAGCTTTAAGCTGCTTAAAGTTGAACATTGCCCTACAGATGAATAATATTACAGCTTAAACTGGGAAACGCGTATCTCACGCTCGAGTCATAAAGGGAAAATTGCTAAATTTGATTTTTCTATTCATATTCAAAGATTAAAACTCAACTGCAGTTAAGCCAAGTTAAGGCCTGTCATAAGCCTGTCCAGCAGTTCGATCTACAGAGAAAGAGAGAGAGAGAGGGAGGGAGAGATAACAATTTGGCACAACAGCTAATAAAATGGTTGAACAATGTTGTTGTGCCAAACAGCAATTAGAGGGTGTGCAGGGCGAGGGTCTTGCCATAAATTGGCAACACAAAGGCACAACGAACCCTAGCTGAGGGCTGACCATGCCCATATTCCTCTCTCTCTCTCTCTCTCTCTCTCTATCTATCTATCAGTCTCAATTGCACACCCTCTCTCACCATCTCGCTCTCCGGTTGACATTTGATTTGTGACGCGTGCCGCTTTAACGGCCTGCGGCCTACGTCCTTCTATCGAATATCGAGCCAGAGCGACGAGGCTGGGGTAGCATCAGAGTCGATTTTCGGACGAAGGCGCAGACGTAACCCCGTGCCTAGGCCAAGTAGTGCCACATGGCACTGCTAGTTATTTTTATTTTTATGATTGTTTTAATTCTGTTTGTTGCAAACAAATAGGCGGAAAATTTGATGACGTTGTCGCGT